AAATTATGAAATTTACAGCCTGGTTTTATTTACCTGGCTTTATTGTATGCACCGGCACTGTTTTAAAAGTATTGTTTTAGCACCTGTATCAGAAAAAAACCCAAATGATACCCATACCTACCTTTGGGGATGTTTTTGTTTTGTGTGTCTTTGTAGTCTTTGTTGCATCTCTTTGTAGTCGTTTTCCATGGTAGGAGGGACGGTCAGATTCCAAGACGAGGACCTCTGGCCCTGTTTACAGTACTGACTCACGGTGTGTAACTCAGCTTTTGCCCCCCTTTTTTGATTAAGGAAAAATGTGCAATGTCTACAGGTTGATCTGTTTTGAGACAAAGCAATTTATTGCATAGTCTGCCCATTTTGAGTCGAGGCATCTTTGGCAGCAGTTGTAGGCTTGTGTTTGTCTGGATAGGCCTGTCTCAGTTTGCATGTCTGCACACTGCACATTTTCCACATTTTTCTTTGCCAAACTGCTCAAGCTCTGTAAAGCTGCATGAGGTGCATGAATGAACAGTGTGTCTCATGTCCAACCACAAATTCTGGATTGGACTGAGGTCAACTTGGCTACTTCAACACGGCAACTTTGTTTTGAAACTGTTCCTGTTTGGCTTTGGCTTTGTTTTTATTCTTGGAATATCTCCTCCAAACTTTCAGTACATGATTTCTGTGTATTTTGCTGAATTCAGTCAATCCTCAGAAGCCCCCAGGGCCTCCTGCAGGGAAGAATCCCTACTGCATGGTGCTGCCACCACCAGACTTCTTAATGAGGATAATGTTTTTCTGACACCAAACACAGCATTTAAATCTTATACATAGATATTACAAATTATTTTAGCCTTTATTTTCAAGTTTTTTTTTCCATCAGTGCTTATGTTGACACTCGAAAAGCTGCAACGGATGAAGACCCCAGGCAACAGTTCTTATTTGCACAGCCTCTCCCATCTCATGACTGAACTCCTTCAAAGATGCCTCACACCTTTTCATGGCCTCCCTTACCAGTGCCCTTCCCACACAGACACGTAATTTGTGAGGGTGGCCTCACCTAGGCAGATTTACAACGATGCTGTATTATTTCCATTTTTATGATTGACCTTTCTGTACTCTGAGCAATATTCATTGTCTTGCGAATTTGCTCACATTCTTTTCCTGATTGGTACTTTTCTGTAACCTTGCCATGGCTTTGTAGTTTCAGCCAAGAAAGTTTTAGGAATAAAACTGTCAAACCATTTTTTAAAAAACCTTTGATAGGTGTATTTAGCCAAAAATCAATAGTTATTATCCTCAAAGGGACACTCCACCAATTTTACACAAGATCAGTTAAGACTCAAGTGACTTCACTTAGTAAAGAGTGAGGTTGATATCATTAAGACGAAATAAGCAGGATGACATGCAGGCGTTTCCTGTGACTCCTTAGTGTGCATATGTTTTAAATTCAGTGCAGGAATGGCAGACCCCTCCACTAACAATGAAAATTACTGTATAGAGGGGTAATTACAAAATGATAGCTCTTGCTGTAATAATGCACACATATTTGACACTATAATAATAACCATTATTATTATTAAAGTATCAAATATGTGATTTAATTTCAGGAGTCCTGGAGTCTAAGCATTATAACTTTATGGACTATAACTGTTATAGAGATGTCTTCTCTTCTGTCAAAAAACCCTACATACATTCAAATGGTCTCAGAAACCAAAAATGTTCCCTCATATGATGCTTCGATGGTGTTGAGAGTGCGCTTTTTATAACCCATCGCTTCAAATATGGCTGACATGGTAAAACAATTTCTGCTCAACTGGAAAAAAACATAGGACTGAATCTCGGTGACAGAGGCACTGAGATCTTTGTCATACAAGGCACAGACCAGGACCTCATATTGCGCTATTGTTGAAAGTTCATTTTCTTTCTGATATGCAAGCAACCAAATCAACAGTGACAATTCAATTTTCCACGTTCTTTCTAAGACTGCTCAGCCACTCCTGAGCCCAAACCACACACATCTGCTGATAAGCGTCTCCACACACCGAGGAAAGTTAGTGCCAAAAGCAGTTTGCGCAGCATCTCTTTGACCTTGACATGATTGCCTGTGAGGCACTTTAATTTAATCAGCTTCCCCAAGCTTGAAGCTGTGCTCATTGTTAAGAAGAGTAGGGCCAGCGAGTGCTATCCACACACACGACACATGAAGATGCGTTGCTCCTTGTGCTGAGGCAAGGTAGAGCGACACACCAAAGCTCCAGGGACCTCACATCCACACAAAGGCCAACAGACAGAAGTTTGCTAGGCATCTCCATCAAACAGGTCCGACTTTAATTATGTCATCAATCAGGAATGAGATGACGGGCAGGTACTCAATTAAAGGCCACCGGAATGCAGCGCAGGGCCTTCGGGCACTGTGCCATCTCTGTCATCTTATGCGGGCAACAGGACATGACCATCAGGGAACTTGGAAAGTGCATGAGGCTGGGGCCAGGACAAACACATACTGCCATTATATAAGACCCAAAGAATGTTAAGACTGCTGTTAAATTAAACTTGTGTAACTGAGAGCATGTGTAAATGCGTCATGATTTTTTTTTTTTAGTACTGTGTAATATAATGTATATGTGTAATGCATGTAATATAATGTGTGTGTGTGTGTGTGTGTATATATATATAATGTAATAGCTGTGCAGAGTATTAAACATATATTTGTTTCACTTGAAGTGGTAACTGCTACACTGTAGGTCTGTTTTGTCATTCACATACAAATTATCCTGATGGCGGGACTAAAATTAAATGGTACCAAATTATACTTTATAAAGTCAGCCTGTGTATTTCTTGACTTCTAGGGGTATATTTACTGTGGCGCTAAATCATGAAATTGTGTGTTCATATTGATTAAGGAGT